TCAGAGGAGGGATATCATATATTTCTGTGACTCCTTCAAGGCCTGCCGAACTATTTTCTCTCCACACAGTTATAACAGGGCACCCCTAGAACTTATCATCAATGAGCGTCTAAAAGTAATTTTTTACGTGGTACGTTCAAAATTGGTGACATTTTTGCACGTGTTTCTCTGATATCCATTTACTGCTTATTGATATGTAATCCTTTAAATTACGGCCCAAATCCCTCCAAAACGTGTTCGTAGAAACACAATTGTTTTAGATAGTGGCTCAACCTCGGTTACAACTGCATTACCGCCCTGTAATACGGTATCAACCGCTACCTCACAAAATGGCGCAAGTGCAGTTCTCACTCCTGTGAAACAGTTGAAAAGTGTTCTATTAAAGAACTCTGAGTTCTTCAAGTCAAACGGCCTTGTGAAAGATATTCAGAGGCAAGTAAGTGAACTTCAGGCGAAATTAGGTCAGTGGGATAGCACCCCACCCCGTCGGTTAATGCGCCTGGGCAATGTGGCCAAAACGTGGGCTGAATAGGTAATTTTGATCGGAAAACAGGTAGGCAAAAGATGGTGTGAATACAACAGATTTTACCAACTTTGCCCATATTGGTCACTTTTTCCCCGTTTGCCCATATTCGGAAAAATTTTTTGTCCCACTTTTCCCACGTGACCCACGTTTTCACCCACTTATCCCATGTGCAGAAATTCAAAATATACCCACTTTTACCGCATTCACCCACTTTTTCAACGACCTGTTTATCCACTACTGCTATTTTCGTGACGAAAAAGGCCCTCATTTTCCCTTTCAACTCACGTATTATTAGAATTAATTAGCGTATTAGTCCTACCAGTTCTCTAAGGAACTGCTTACACATTGTCGTCCTCTGAAGTTACTACTGCAATCAAATTTACTACACTTACGAGCTCAGCGACTACTGCCTTACGAATCTTTCACCTCATTCAATGCTTATGCCACTGATATAAAACAAGGCCAACGGAGTTAGGGAATTTTATATTTTATACAGTGAAATGTCGGTTTAAAAAAACAACAACCGGATGAAAGATTCCACAAAATGACCTCCTAAATTATTCTGAGGACATTTATTAGCTGGGCCCAGGTTGAATGACGTTGGCACACATCTGTTATGAAGGAAAGAGGGAAGCAGTTGAATACGCCTCAAAACCATTAAGTGCATAAAAACGGGGAATACTTTTCCCTTAAAAACTACCTCTTCTGGTGAGAAATCCAATAATTTCCGAATACGTTGATCATGGCACCAATTTTTGGTGGCTTTGACTATCGCTTCGAGTGTTTCCTCCTAGGTGGACCCAAGTTGTAATTGCTTACTAATGATGACATCTGAATTTTCGTTAAGTATACAATGTTCTGATTCCAAAAAGTCAACATACCAATTATAAGCTGGAAAAATGTGAAATCTCGGACACCATTCTTTTCCGCTGTACCCTTATACGTCATTACTCTTGCTAAGCTTTTATTGACGACTGCGCTCAGCAATCGGCGCGTAGACATGGTTACGTTATTTTGCACCCTAAATGAGAGTCGGCACATCTGAATCAACTTAACAAACTTGGTTGAAATTCCTTACTATTTTCTTAAAGTACTTCCGGTTTTTCAGTTTACGTTCGAAAATTTCAAGCATAGCAAATGATTTAACCGGTAGCTTGACATCGTATTCACCGTCATCAGTTGTGCCGTCATTGCTAGCGGCCAACGCGAGGTCGACACGCTTAATTAATCTCGCTTGCGATTCACATAATGTTTCAACACAAACTGTTAAATAATTATAGGATAAACATAAAATAAGATTGAACTGCGCCTGTTAGTTTACTAATAGCATCCGTCATTTCCTGGCGACCCTTAGTATCCTTGGGTGACCTGAGAAAGAATGGCTGTTAAGTTTGGTGTCACTTACATAACAGGTGTACTCGTAGCAGCAACCATATGCGAATCCGAAAATGCTTCATTATAATGTACGGTTGAATATCTGTCATACTTGGTATTCCTTTTCGAAACAGGTGCACTACTATCAAGGTCTGCGTAATCTGGGTTGCCCACGTCATCACCGACCTCCAGTTTATGCGGCAAAGGATGGACATAACGCGACACAGGCTGATTTCATGGAAATCACTTCTATCGCATATGTTGAGTGTAGACTCAACGATTCAGGATTCAGCAATCAATCTCACTCTATCCCCAACTACCTATATTACTTCTTAGAATTTTGACTCTGTCCCACCCACCCTATTGTGTGATTGTGTGTGAATGCATGCAGTGCGACTGCTGATTTTTCTTCCAAATAACTTTTCTTCATGAGATCAATCATTCTTACATTAGCCACTAAATTCTCATGTTCTGATAATCTCACTACTCCTGCCTGATCTCCTAGTTTGACCTATGCAGTTGACCGAACTCACAGTCATTGCAAGGTGTAAGATCCATTCAATTCCCATCCTTGAATCAAGTCAACCTATCCCGGATCAGCCTAGCGTTGTTGCAACCCAATTATCCATGCCTAACGTGTCTATCCCCCCTTGTTTAATGAACTGTGTGTGTTTTTACATCGATCCGTTTAGTCAGACAGTTGGACTCATGACCCAATCAGAGTATTTTTGTGAACTGTTATTTTGCTGACCCATGTCTTACTTTGTACTATTCTGTCGAGTTTATCTTATTTATTGATCTTCATCTGTATCAGCCTACCTGGTTAAGTAGCCAATTAAATTCTATCTTTGTGCCTATGCTCTGTCTATCTCTTACTTGGGTTCATTCTTCTACTGACTGCTTACCTGAACGGTCGTGTCTGATTCCGGCTAGTTCGCAATTTTGGCTGTAACGTTATTCCGCTCTGATAGCGGTACCTTGCTTTCTGTTAAGCGTTGTGCTTTGTACTCTTGAAAGCGTTAAGGTTTGTTATATATATAATTATTGATTTGTTTATTAATAGTACCGTAGAAACAGTGACCGGCTTCTTGTTTGTTCTGGACCGGGATAGCCTTTATCTACGCGTGACTTAATTTCAAGCGATATTGCGCTTATACAAGGTGTTTTGTAAATTATATTATTTTGTTTAATTAGGTCCACCGGTTCTTCTAGCCTACAGAGCTTGCCTTATTCGAGTGAGTTTGTAGGTTTGAATGCCACGACCCTGATTCCTGCTTTATTGAGAATCCGACGTAGGGTCTCAGACGTCCCTACCTTATATGGTGAAACTGTAGATGCCTTACATTCTTTGTTATTTACGTTATCATTATTAGTTCCAGCATTATTTTTATTTTGCTTTTGACCACTTTTGATATTCCTGATGAATTTTATAGGATAGTTAGTTATTTAACACCAACGCCTTTTCTATCTGTTTCATTTCATCGTTTAGGTTTTTAGTTGTACTTCTTAGTGCTATTGCTCGGTTTGTTAAACACTTAACTAAGTAAGCCTTTACAGACAACGTATGAGATCAATTAGTCTAAGTATCTATTAGAATGCGTTGGCTTTATATAAACGCTAGTGTTCATTCGTGTTATTTTACAGTCTAACCATAGCTAATTCTCCTTGTTCATTTTCCGACTCAAATGTGAATTTTATTCCCTTTACTAAGTGAGTTTATATGCGTTTATTTAAATGTCTAATCAATTTCACTCATGTATATAAATGAAGCAAGAAATTTCATACATTTATTCCCCTTAATGAATTTGAACAAAGCAAAAACTACAGTTTTAGCAGAATAAATTGGTACATTCAGCTTGATTATAAAGGTGAAAACATTGCAGCAATGATCAACAGAAGGCTGAGTACATCACTAACCATAGCCTATCCTGCAACTAAGCTCGTCTCCATCTATTGAACAACTTGCTCTTTGGTGCAATCAAAAATCGATAGATATCCTTCTCATGTTAACTGCAACTGCATATAGAAATTTACATGTATCTGCGGGAGCAGTTACATTGGAAGAACAAAAAGAAGGGCATATCTACGATTTTCTGAACATGTACCAAAAAGCTTATGTCTAAAGGGAACAAATGCTTTAAACAGTGCCGTCACCTCGACACGGGTCATGAGGTCAACGTCGGAAAGTCGTTCAAAACTATCAATAGGCAAAAGAGCTCAATTCTCCTTAATTTTACTGAAGCCATTTCCATCAAGCGCCTGAAACCTGATTTATACGTCCAGAAAGAAGCGGTTATCAGTCTTTCTTTGCCCCGGTAACTGGATATTTTTCATTTCTCTTTCATCTGAATGCGAGATGCTGAAAAGTTTCATTGTGTATGATTATTATTGTTCGGAATAGTGTTTAATATTGCATATATATATATATATATATATATATATATATATATATATATTAGTGTATGCGTATATTGATAGATTGATTTTGTTTAAAATGAACTCTGTGCAAGTATGTTAAAATTGTTTTTGCAGATACATTCAATGATGTCTTTGCCCTGAAAGCAGCTGACGAGAAGGCAACGAAATAAAAGATGGTACCACTTTATTCTGCTAAAACTGTAGTTTTTGCTTTGAAGCAAGAAAGTTGTATGAGTAGTGCCTTGATATGATTATGAGGAGTAATAAATTGTGCTCGAAACGTCGTCATCAGTTAATATTACTGTACAACACTGTGTGATTTGCCAAAATAAAAAAAATATATTATCTATAAGAACCTGTTTCACGAAAAATAGACAGATGGGAATGGAGATGGCTTGAATAACACTGAGGAGACCGATAAATGACACACTACGTGCCAGACCAACTCTGGAGTGGATTTCAAATGCGAAACAACGAGATTAACACGAATCCGAGGGTACACATGAAGGGAACACATCAAGTAGAAAAGATGTGAAAGCTCATGGTGAGTAGTAGAGCCAGCTAAATAAGACAAAACAGAACAGAGTATACAGTGAAGATGTGTGCCGATGAAGCCCTATGTCCCACACTTGGAACCCAAGCGAATAGTTATAATGATAACAACAGATTTATATATAAAAATATATATATTTCTTCAATTAATTACGATTAAAATACGTTAGTTTATCAATCATCAACACCATCATCACCAATCAAATCCGAAGAAGATAACAAACCAATGAGAAGAGACATCCATCTGGGTGTCTACATGTATGTGTGTGTTTGTCTAGGCGTCTGCTTACAGATTGTCAAAAAAGTGAACGCAAATGCAACAAAAAAATAATAATTTCTAGAAAATGATGCAGAAAAAGTCTGTGATGAATGAGTGTACACACTCTCTCACACACACACACATGAATCAAGAAGAGAGCGAAGCCTGAAGCAGTCGGGGGGGGGGGGGGGCAATAAAAGTTTTAAGATATGAAGAGAAGAGATATGTATGTGCATATCTTTGGCTCAAAATGAAACTTCATGAGCGATTTTATTATGCCTTACTAATCAATCTTGAAGGGTTATTGTTTAAATTCACCGTGAAATGACCTGAACCAATTCTGAAATTCTCTTCAAATTTATATCCATTTTTTGTAAGATATTGTATGACAGCAGGTCGGAGAACTGGTGACACTGACACAAGATCACTTTCACAACCAGCAGCCCGACCTGTAATCACTGTAAAATATTTTGGTACATTTATGATTGAATTCCTTGTATTCTTCATGCTTAATTTATCCTTTAAATAGCTTAAACGTTGTTGTAGTACACTAAGCGCACAGGATTTATTTAATCCGTGTAAATCAAGGTAGGAGAAGGCTAAACATGCTGCACTAATCGGTCTTTCACCGTTTGTCAATAATTCTTCTTCATACAGTATTGATCTTGTATCAACTAGGTATTCAGCTTTTTGAAGATTGAAATAATACAGTTCATTTTGCAGTGATCTAAGCTATAGAGAAGAGAGAATTAAAGGGAAAAGAAATAATACATAAAGCAGAAATAAATTAATACATAAATTAATTTGTATTTAATTGGTGGATGGTGACTAGAGCAGTGGAATCCAGCCAGGATGCGCATTTCGTCCTATTTGGGACTCGTCAACTAGCTGGATGTACCTGCATTTCTCAGTGAGTGATGGATAATGTTCCCACCGAGGCTCGAACCCAGTGCCCATAGTTTCAAACACCAGCCAAAGCGTTATCCACTAGACCACTTGGGCCACGAGAGCCACCTCTTGTGCAACGGGTCATATTAATTTATTTAATTGAATTTTAGATTTTCCCGTCGATTGATTGGACCGAAGTGCTTGGTCTCAGGTTGACATGTCGGCTTAAATTAATTGATCGTTTACTAATATAATAATATAATCAAACTGAGTGACTCGCTACCATGCTTCAATCTGAAATGATGTTAGAGTATTTGTGTCCTCACACCGCCGACCCTCGACCTGCTGTACCCCACCACTACTGGTCACGACTTCTCACTAGAACCCAGGTATCTAACTCCCTGAATAGGGTCAGTCGCTGTTAGTGAACAGTAGATTGATATTCAAGTGTTGCTTTGCAGGGAATAGGTCGGCTACAGGATTTCATTATGGCTTAATGGTCTACGAGCTCATCTTGTAACCGGGAGGTCCTGGGCTCGAACCCCGGTAGGTGCGAGTTAGCCAGTGTTTCTCTAAACGATGCCAGCTCATGATGAAATCCTGCAGCCAATCAAATCGAATCCCTGCAAACCAACACACTAGAGACTGGCCCTATTCAGGTAGGTAGTTAGTTAACTGGGTTCTAGTGTGAAGTCACGACCAGTGTTGTTAGATATTTGGAGGCAAATGGTAGGGAGCCCTGTTTCATCTACGGTTTTGTCCTATTTGATACTTGTCAGCAAGGCGTACCTGCAACCCTGAGGCAACTCATTTCCATTCTCAAATCCAAACCCGCGTCACCAGTTAGCTATCCGGGTTTATAATCGACTTCCTGTAATAATGTAATGCATACATTGATTCGTCATTAGCAAATAAACAATGTCATGTGTCTAGTCCATGGTCTTGGTGCATATTGAACTGACTATCAATCCAGTTTCTAATCTGGTCACCAACCTAGATGACTGGCCATCATCGCAGTGGTTTGAGGCCATAGGCACGAAGAGCCGAACGTAGGCTTCGTCTTTGTTGGCAGTCAGCCGTCAGCCAGAAAGGCGCATCTGCAACCTTCAAGGAAGTCATGTCCCTTCTGATGTTTGAACTACTCAGGTTCACGATTAATTGACAAGTGGTAATGTCTTTGATTGTATATCACTGAGTGAGGCGGGTTTCAATCTCAGAGGGGATATCGGTCCTTTCAAGTTTGTAGATCCGCTTCGCTGAAGAGTACCAACCTAGGTAGACATTAGAATTTGGCGTACTATCATCTTGCATTTGACAGAGGCCAATAGCATATCAGACAATCTAAGATTTCTGTTCAGTGTGTTCAGGAAACTCTGTATTATTTCATCGGCGTCTTCACCTAAGAAGACAAAGTTGTCTGCACGCTTTTGGAATTCACACACATATATATGTGTGGGTCTTCTGCAATCAGTCTTCCTTTATACCAACCAAAACCTTTCTGTAGAACCTTGGTCCTATTACAGTCGATCTTGTGTCCCGTTTCTATAGAGTATAGTGCAATCACCGATCTGTTTTCTAGCTTCTTCAAATCTGCAGAGGTCTTTGGAACCACCTTTAGACATTGTTTATGCTCCTTTACTCTTACATTTACCGGTCTAGAAGTTTCTCCTACACATACAGCGTCACAATCCCCACAACTGATCTGGTAAACACACTTCTGTTGATTGTCTTCTTCTATTTTATCCCTGGCCTTCACTAGTGATGAGTGTAAGGTGTCCGCTGCACGAAAATACACTCTTATGTTTGTCATGATTGTTAAGAATTCGCTTTATTTCATCCGACGTTTCTTTGCGGTAAGGAATCCCCAATGTGTTAACCCAATTCTTAGCAAAAGGTTTCCATTCATCCACATCTCTTCCCATTTTAAATATTTTTTTTATGAAAGCTTCGGGATAGTTATTTGATTCAAGAGTGAATTGAACCAATTTTAGTGCCCTGATTTCACTTTCTTGGAGTGTTTAGTAAAATAAAAAGCAGATGGTATGCTTGAAATAAACATCTTCAGAAAGCCAACAACAAATTCGGACAGATACCTAGACTACAATTCAGCACATCCCTTTACCAGTAAAGTAATGGTGACCAAGAATCTGATTAACACAGCCAAAACGTCTAGTTACTGAGGAGTAGGAGTAGGATGGCCAGAAAAGATCAACAACAGAGATCTCTGGCAATGAGCGAACCAACCAGGAACCGATTGTGAAACAAATAGGCAGGAAGAAATGGAGGTGGATTGGATTCGCCATACTCTGAGGAAACAAACCATCAAGTGACATCACTAGACAAGCCATTGCTCGAGTGGAGCCGAAAGGGAAGCGGCGAGTTGGTCGTCAGTGCGAGGGTGACTTGGAGGAGGTCATGTGAAGAGGAGATGAAAACGTGTGGGCAGGCTTGGAGCCAGGTGAAGATTCTAGCAGAGAAACGAACGCAATGGAGACGCACGGCTGAAGCCCTATGTCCCTCTAGGAATTAAAGGAAACAATAATAATAATAATAATAGGAGTAGGAGGAGATCAACAGGGATCAACTAAACCTAACTCCGCAAGAGCAGATACATAGGACGTTCGTCGAGGAACAGATCCCGCCGCGTTCGAGAGCACCTTCCAGCTTGGCTGAGCAAACGAGACAGTAGAGGTATTATTTAATCGATATTGCAGCATATTGTAGATACTGACCACTCAGCATCTGATATATCGTTTGCCAAAAGGGTCACGAATGCATTTTGCTTTGTATAGCAAAGGCTTCGGCAATACATAACACATAAAGTCAGAACTTTATGCACAAAATGAGTTTATACGATCTCTTTCGTTACCCCATGGTCTTGACTTTACTATGTAATTCACATAAAAACCTTGTTATCCTTCTTGAGTTCAGTTCATGTTCCATTTTTTGTTTTATTTTATTTCACTTTATGTTATCATATTCTAACAAAATTTATTTAGTCTACTATTTTGACAACATTTCACTCATCTTATGTCTCCATCACATCATACTGACATATTCGGACCAGTTTGTTGAACGAAACGTTGGAATTACTTATTTCAATTTCGCTGAGATTTTACAAATATAATTTAAAACAATTAGTTCCCTGTATGAATTTAGATAAAACAATAAGATGTAATTTGTTTGAATCGTGTAATGTGCATATTTGCCCAACACATTTCGAACAATCTGATCACACACACACACGGACTTGTCATAGGAATACATACATAAAATTAATAAAGAGTTAAGAAGTGAGAAAATAGACAAGTTAGATCAAGTTAAAAGGACATATTGAAGGCCAAAATACGAAGGCGAGTAATAGTACATCTGCCTAACTGGTATCAAAACAAAGTTTACCAAGGAAGGTGGTTTAGTGTGATGACAAATTGTTTTTGAACGCATAAAAAGGTGGTTTAAACTTCCTAATTGCCAGCTAGGGCTTCCACAAACTTTAAGATACGCCCCAAACACGTTCTATAGATAGGTTTAAAAGATGTGTAAACATCAATTTTATGTCCTGTCTCTATAATATGTTCCACATTAGAGGAGATAAGTCGCCTGTTCTCACCATTAATGCGTTCTGAGGCTTCTATTTGCTTCTGAAGCCCTTACCTGCAGAGATCGCTGAGTTCTCCCTATATATATGTGTGGCCACATTTAAATTCAAATTAGTAAATACAGTGGGATGTGGTATCATTTTTCGCATGTTCCAGGTGCTTAGATTGGTATATCGGCTTCACATTCTCAATTATTCTGATCCTAGCTCCATAAAACGTCTTTTTCAACCACAGCAATCAATCTCTGTAGGGTTACCAAGCTGCTCTTTATTAAAAAAAAAACTAACCCTTACAAACCAAACTATAGAAAATTAATCTGATGCTCGCTAGTGACTTGCTACAGGATGGAGTTTCCTGGAGTTCTACTGAGAAGTCGTGACCAGTGAGGTCCATCCAGATGTCACGTGTGAGGATGGATGTCCCACCTACGACAATGGTTGGGGTCGCGCTAAATCATGAGCCATTGAATCGGGTCCCAGTGGCTGAATGGTATACGAGCTTGCCTTGTAACATGAAGGTCCTGGGTTCGAACCCTCGTGGTGGGTGCGTACTGCCGATGATTCCCAAACTAGGATGAAACAGCAGCTGTCCAGTACTCCCTGATTTTCAATGGTTCTCTAACTGATATCAATCCGTGATCAACTCGTAAAAAAAAAACTAACCCTTACAAACCAAACTATAGAAAATTTCATATATATATTCCTGGGACAAGTCCGTGTGTGACCAGATTGTTAGAAATGTGTTGCACAAACACAAATATAACTATTACATAAATCGACAGATTAGCAAAAAAACGAAGAAAGACACGGAATAGAAGCATAACAGAAAATGAGAACAAAACTTTCTTCCTTCCTTCCTTACCTCTGTTACACGGAATTGTTTAACTCGACTGTCTTTAGCATAAGAAAGATCACATTTTGCATGGATAATCTTTTGTCGAATACTTTCAATTCTTCTATTCAGCATATTTAACCATTCATTATTTGCATTAGTATTAGTACTACTAATACTGTTGACTTGATGACTAGAGGAATATTCTTGACCAGCACAGGAACCAGTAGTCATCATGTCTGTATCAACATTTTCATTGAATTTGTTGGATGTTTCCACAAGAAAAGGATTTAATGGTTGAGGGATGAAACCTTGTTTTATAAAATAATCCATAAGATTTTGTTCATTTAAGCTGAAGAGGATAGAAGAGAAAAAAACAAGAGGATGATGAGTAAGAGGGGTGGCGGGGATACAACAAAATGGTAAAGTTCAACAATAGCGTCCCAGGGGTGCGAACGCACGAGTGACCTTCAGCTGACCAATCATAAAAATGAGGAATTTTCGCATAAAAATGACGTATATTTACAAGAAAATGCTTGAAAAAGCATTAAACAGGTTATCTTTCTCTGAAATGGCTTAAAAATACGTCCTAGTTGTAGCGAGGAGTATCAGTTGCTAAGTTAGACTAGTTTCTGTACATGTATTCACCGAGATAACTAAAGATGAACTGTTTTTATGAATCGTTTGTCTCTGTCATCCTGCTTGCAGTCTTCCAAAAAAGCCCTCGGTTGAATTATTATGGTTTCCAGCAAGAGGATAGACGACTGCTTAGCAGGAAAACGTGGATAATAAAACAAATTAAAATAAATGACATCAACCATAAATCTATCCCTAATCGTAACCATAAGCTTAATCCTAACCCTAATCATAACCCTTATTCAAACCCTGATCCTAACCCTAGCCCCAATACTTACCTTAACCCTAATCCTAACCCTAACGAACTACTAACACATTGTCCACACTGGGTGAAATTCGCTCCTAAGGTGTTGAATAGCGTTGATATTTCAGCTATGATAATAACAGATGCTGTTAGCCAACGACTAGCATGCGTTCAAGGTCATTGGAGCGTTCACACTCCTGGGACGCTATTGTTGAACTTCGCCAACAAAATTATCATAACACTACATAAGTAGTATATACGAAACTATATTTTTTTTAAAAACAAGCAAACAAATAAACCCGCCTTAATCAAAAAAGAGACGAATGTGTGAAGCAAATTGAAGTGAATAAAAAAGAAGGCGAAAATCACCTTGACACAAACACACACACAAAATTGAGAAAATCAACAGATATTTATAGATTTTTATATACATTATTATTAGCGTTATTGTTAGCAGAGAAGCAACGTCTTCTGATTGGTTGTTTTCTTGCTGAAGGTTATTTTGTCATCTCTTTGTGGCTATTTCTTTGAAGGTCAGACCATATATCTGCGAATCGTATTTGCACACGTTAAGTCTTCTGTGATTGGTTGTTGAGTTCCTCAAGGTTAGGCTTTGTTATTGCTTTACCTCATGATCCCGATTCGGGACGTAAACATTGACGTAAATTGGTGTCTATAGTTTTGGCTAGCAGACAGCTCTCACCACAACAGGATTTCATCATGAGCTAACATCGTGGTTAGAGAACCATTGGAAAACCTGAAGGGAGTACTGGACAGCCAGTCGTTTCGTCAGCCTAGTTTGGGACTCTTCACCGGTACTCACCCACCATAGGAGTTCGAACCCAGTACCTTCTGGTTACAAGGCGAGCTCGCCTACAAACCAATACTTGAATTATCCATTTTTCTTTCTATTTAAGTTCTTACAGAGACACACACACACCCACAAGACTTCAAGGCGTTTGAAGTCTTTCAGTAGAGACGGTGGTGTTACTTAACGTTTACAAAGGAAGGTTTTCAGCCTCAAGCACCACCCACCAACATCCCCTCCCTTCCGAGCTTAATATCAACCGACTATGTCTACGAGCCAGCTCGCCTTGTAACCAGAAGGTTCTGGGTTCGAACCCCGGTGGGTGCGTACTGATGAAGAGTCCCAAACTAGGCTGACGAAACAGCTGTCCAGTACTCCCTGCTGGTTTTCCAATGGTTCTCTAACCGACTGATGTCAGCTCATGATGAAATCCTGTAACCGAATAATTCTGCTGAAGAAGCTATGGCTTACACAGCGAAACATTCAGAAAACAGATCTCGTTTTGATTTTTTCTTAAACACCCTGGGATTATTTTAAATAATTTATAATGACTCTAGCTTGAAGTCCTATGTTCCACTAGGAACGTAAAGGAATAAAATACTAATACTACTACTAATAATAATAACTCATGTCAATTAGTAGGGCTCGATCCCAAATGAGCAAGACAGCTGTTTGGGAGTTTAGATCACCTCAGTTTGGCTGTGTGACCAGCAAGCACTACTGGCTGACATGAGTGAGTGGCATACAACACCTACTACTACTACTACTTATCTCAATGAACCAGTAGTATATAGTTTTATGCGATAATTCGCCATTTCTATAAAAACGAGAAAAGAAACGATTTCAACTTACTCGAAACGAATGAAAAGATTTTCCAAATAATTGATTTCAATTCCAGGAAATTGTGCTTTCAGACGACTAAGACAAAGTTGGTTTGCCAGAGTTTGAAGACGCTAAGGATTTTTGGGTAAAGTAAAAAAGAAAAGCAAGATAAAACAAAACACACAACAACAGAACAGTAGAATTAGTTTAAACAAAGGTGATAACATAACAACATAGTGAAAAAGAAAAAATTTTGGATTTCAACAAGATGGAATGTTTTGATGCATATCAATGGCATCTGCATAACGTCACAAAAGGAAATCAAAGTTCAGTAGATAGTCACTTTGTTCTAGGTTTAGACTTCTCAGTAGTACTGTAACAACAGAAGACAAGGGCCAGGCAACAGATCGTTTATTTACGAAATCAACACATATTTATAGATTTTCATGTACATTATTATAGATTATTGTTAGCAGAAAAACACAGTCTTCTGATTGGTGGTTTCTCACTGAACGTTAATCTTTCATCTCTTTGTGGCTGTTTCTTGAAGGTCAGATCATCTATCTGGAAATTGTATCCGCCTACGCAAAGTCTGCTGTGATTGGTTGTTGAGTCAGTCTTTGTTTTTGTTATTTTTCTCATGACCAATATTGGGGACTTAAACATTGACGTAAATTACTGTCTACCGATTTTGGCTAGCAGCCAGCCCTCACCACAGTACTATGCAATCACAAGTTCGTGAGGGAGAAAATCAGAGGGACCTTCTCTCTCTGTGTATATATCTTACAATAGAAAATGTTACCATTCAGCCCACAAGGTTGAAATCGAATGGCTCATTTTAGATAATTTTATCAATTTAGTGACGAAGCAAATCCGATGCTTCATATCAGTTTTAACTAGAGATATTATTACCACCAGTCAGTCAAATCAGAGGAGGAAAATAAATAATGTTAAAGTGTATTCAATTCATATTATAACATTCTAACAAGTTATTTGATTGTATTTAATCGATAATACTACTATTATTATTTCTGAATGTACTTTATTTATCTTATATTAATCTTATTCAAATGTCTAATCATCAATTTCTACTCATGTAGATAAATGAAGGAAGAAAGTTGTGTGAGTAGTGCCTTGATATGATTATGAGCAGTGATAAATTGTGCTCGAAACGTTGTCATCAGTAAATATTACTGTATAACAACACTGTGAGACTTTATCAAAATAAAATATTATCTATAATGGAGTTATACTCTACCGCCACAGTGCCCAAGTAATTCTCCTTATATTAAATCTTCTTTCTTCATTATCCTCTTTTTTGTCATCCTCGTTTCATTATTTTACTTCTAATGATAAATATATGCGCAGTCAGTCCTTCTTCTTCTTCTATTGGTTGTGAATAGTATTGTACTAGTAATACTGTGGTGAGAGCTGTCTGCTAGCCAAATTGGTTGACAGTAATTTACATCAATGTTTATGTCCCAAATATTGGTCATGAGAAAAATAACAAAAACAAAGACTGACTCAACAACCAATCACAGCACACTTTGCGTAGGCGGATACAGTTAGCATACAGGTGATCTAACATTCAAGAAACAACCACAAAGAGATGGAAGATTAATATTGAGCGAGAAACCACCAATCAGAAGACTGTGTTTTTCTGCTAACAATAATCTATAATAATGTACATGAAAATATATAAATATGTGTTGATTTCGTAAATAAACGATCTGTTGCGTGGCCCTTGTCTTCTGTTGTTGCAATAATATTGTGGTGAGAGCTAGCTGCAAGCCAAAAACTGTGGACAACAACTTACGTCAATGTTTATCTCACAGATCGGAGTCATGAGAAAAAACAATAACAAAGCCTAACCTTGAGGAACTCAACAACCAATCACAGAAGACTTAACGTGTGCAAATACCATTCGCAGATAATATGGCTTAACTTTCTAAGAAACAGTCACAAGCAGTACAGAATAACCTTCAGCAAGAAAACAACCAATCAGAAGACGTTGTTTCTCTGCTAACAATAACGCTAATATTAATGTACATAAAAATCTATAAATATCTCTTGATTTTCTCAATAAATGATCTGTTGCCTGGCTCTTGTTTTCTGTTGTTACACTATTACTCTAATACTAATACAAACACTAATAAATGATGATAATAATAGTAATAATAATAAGCATATGAATTCCCAAGGAAATGATACTATCTCAATCTTACAATCTCTTTTAACAATATAATCTCTGTAAAGCATTAAATCTTCTTTGCATTGAACATTAACCTTTTCATCAGTGTGGAAAACTTTCTAGCCATCTCATTTATGGCATAATCAAAAATCATATATTTTCATTTCTTTTTGCTTTCTTCCTCACTTTATAATTCTGATTGAAGAGAAGATGACGAAAGGAATCATAAGGGGGGATTCATTCGTGTGCTTTTCCCTTTTATTAGCTATTTTAGTATTGGTTAATCTAATCATAAATCTATTTATTGTAAGAGAATTTTCAAAGCGTGGAAAATGCAAAAAAAAGAAAAAAAGAAATAGGGAAAAAAGAAAGAATAAATTTAGTTTTATGCCTTTATAAATCAAAGGCGGTGGTGTATGTACAGTTAGTAACGCTGTTGTTGTTGTTGTTGATATTGTCTGACTAACTGATGAAGTTTATTTATTTTCATCACAATGTTTTTATTCCCTCTTTCTGTTCTTTTCTTTTCTTTCTATTATATTTTGGGAAAAAATGATGTTGAGTGGAAATAGGCACACCGAGTTGGATGCTGATGTGTTGATCATGAATACTACTCATCTATGCACGTGAGAAATATTATACGACAGCCACCACCTGTCTCCTCAGGTCCTCTTATGGCTGACACCCTCATCTCTATCGCCTTTAGTTGAAACGATAGTGTCTAGTTACTTTCAAATTTCACCTATTCACAGGGATTGGTGCTTGTTGTTGGCAGTCGGAGTTTCTTCATCACCTTTGTCTTCTCTGTTCCTTCTTCTGCCAGTTATTATTCATGGTTTCCACCTGTAGATCTTCGAATTTATGCGATATTAGATAGAAGGTATCCCCAAACTTCACATCTTCTAGAGTCTTCTTATTGATTCTGAGTATGCTTGTCTTCTCTTCCCCTCATGTCTTCTTCTTCTTCTTTCTATATCATAGGAACTACTTTCTGTGAATAAAATGAATACCAACCAAGAAACAAATAAATAAGTCAACCAACCAACCAATCAACTTACGACTTTTTGATCTTCAATCGATCTGTTCAATGCCTCTTCTTCATCTTGTATCTCTTGTAGGCTTAAATTTTCTTCAACACTTTGTTGACCAATTAGTAATCCATTTAGATTATTATTATTATTAGTAGTAGTAGTACTAGTAGTAGTAGTAGTAATCGTAGCAGGATGTAGACTGACATCTCTGAAATCATTAGATAAACCACTGACTGTACTTGTCGACGATAGGTCGGCGACATTAGTAGTGGCAGTTGCAGCAGCAGCAGCAGCAGTAGTATTAGTCTTCTCTGTCAATTCACTTGCTGATTTATAATAACTTAAAAGGTAGATTTCAGTTCTTGCTTCATCAAATCTAAACAAAAGGCATAACAAAAAAATAATAAAAGCTTCGAGTTAAAGCCAAAAAATATAACAATACCAATGAGGAAAAACGAATTTAAAATTGGTTGAAGGATTTCATCATGAGCTGACATCAGGTTGGAGAACTATTGGAAAACTGGCCAGGAAGTACTGGACAGCCAACTGTTTCGTCCCTCCTAGTTTGGGACTCTTCATCAGTACGCACCCACCACAGCTGGGTTCGAACCCAAAACCTTCTGGTTACAAAGTGAGCTAGCTCGTAGACCATTAAACGACTGGGACCCCGATCAAATGGCCAGCCCATGAATTTTAACTTCTGCTAATTCATGACATAGAGCGAACACTTCGCAATGTCTTCTTCGATGAGTTACTGCCTCATCTTCAATCTGCTGTACCCTACTGGTCACAGCTCCCAACTAGAATCCCAGGTAACCGCTTGAATAGGGCTAGTCGCTCATGATGAAATCTTCCAACCAATCAAACAAAATCCCTACAAAACCAATACTTGAAAATTAATCTGATGCTCACTAGCGACTGGCCCTATTCAGGCAGCTACCTGGGGTTCTACTGGGAAGCCGTGACCACTAGGGTACAGCAGGTTGAAGGTGTAGCAGAAACTCATCGAAGAAGATATCGTGAAGTGGTCGCGCTATGTCATGAATTGGAAGAAGTTGGAATTCATTGGCTGGCCATTGGATCGGGTCCCAGTGGCTTAATGGTCTATGAGATTGCTCGCCTTGTAACCAGAAGGTCCGGGGTTCAAAGCTTGAGGGTGAATGAGTACTACTGACGAGTCCCAAAGTAGAACGAAACAGCTGGCTGCCCAGTACCCCCTGCGGGTTTTCCAGTGGTTACCTGCAGGTAGCAACTCTTACCCCACGAGAGAACAAATAACCCCCCTATTACTGAAAGCTCAAAAAGGCTTGAAGTCTTATGTTCCGTTAGAAGATCAAGGGATGGAAAAAAGAATTAGTTTTACTTTGATAAGCTCCACACCTGAACTACACACAACCAATCAATAGGTGATGAACAGGAAGCTTTGTATGCTTATGGAAGTGTGCAGATAGCTATCAGGTCCCTACCACCCACACCATGAGAGCTAATTTCTTCTTGAAATGCATAAAACACGAGAAGCATTCGTGTTGAATAACCATGAAGCCCAGACCAGTCGCAAACTACCTTCGTTGACTTGACTTTTTTGGAGTTGGAGTCAATTGGAATGTACAATTTCTGGGGTCAACAAGTTTTCTGACCTCCAACTCCTCAAACTGGAGAGGCAGCGTGGCTTGTTTACAAGTAGTCCAAAGAATGTTAAGTGCCTATTCATCACCATCAGTACAACTTCGCCTACAGACCCCGAATATAGCGTGAGCGACTTACACACTATGATGGCAACCGATTTTAGTCTAACCGCTATTCAAGCAACCTTTCTAGTACGATAGGACCTGCAAGGAAATTAGTTCCAGTCAGTGTATTTCGTTGTGTCATTGCGATACGCAAGCCCAACCATCACACATCAAGACAATAGCTATCAGCTGACACAGTCATCAATAGATAGAATAAGAGGGAAATAGAATACCAATTTGTCTTTCAATTATTTAAAGACTACTTTTTACATTTACATATATATATATATATATATATATGTATATATATATATTGATTAGACACTAGTTTGAAACTAATGCCATGTGTCCAATCCTGAGTTTGCTGCAGTGCCAAATCAGGGCATCCACTAGACTTCTACAAACATCAAGTCACTTCTTCTATACGGATCAGAAACTAGGCCGGTCACAAAGAATATTTCCAACAGCCTGTTGCAGACCTTTATCAACAACTGTCTTCGCTCTATACTGAAGATCAGATGGTCGGAAAGATTCACCAACAAGAAACTATGGGAACAAACAAAACAAGAATCAATCGCCCAACAAATATGCAGGAGAAAGTGGAGATGAATTGGACACTCGCTGAGGAGGCCGTTGGGTGACATCGCGCGTCAGGCCATTTGCTCGAGTGGAACCTGAAAGGGAAGCGGCGAGTGGGACGTCCAAGGTTGATATGGAGGAGATCGTGTGAAGAAGAGTTGAAACAGTATGGATTAACATGGATGCAGGTGAAAAGTACAGCAGAAAACAGAAACAAGTGGAGACATGCAGTTGAAGCCCTATGTTCCACTAGGAACCCAAGGGAACAATAATAATAATAAATACTAGACTTCTACAGAAGGTCAAATTCGAGCCTCAACACCTCTGAATGAAGCACTGGGTGGGTGACACGGGTTCGAATCTCAAAAGGGACATCGTTAATTCTTTCAAGAGTGTAGATAGGCCTTACTGACTGATGAGTGTCAACGAACACGAAACCTAGGTAGGTCCAAGGCTTCCTATAGATACATATACAGCATGGAACTTTAAAAAACAGAGAATAAAGTAAATAAAAGGCAAAACTACTACAACTACTACTTCGACTTACTCGCATCGAACAAATGCTTCTTCAATAACACTTTTTTGTGTTCCAGGAAATTTAGACATAAGACGATCCATTATGATACGTATAACTGGAGTATTTAAAGACTGTAGAGAATTGGAAAAAAAACAGTGAGTTGATTTAACGAATGAGAAGGCAAATACTACTTAATTATAGTAATCAGTAGATATTTTAGTAGAAGAAAAAGCTGTACTGAGATAATTTGGAGGATGGTGACTAGCAGTGGAATCCAGTATGTGAGCATTTCGCCCTATGCTGGGACTCGTCATTTGGATATACCTGCACTCCTCCTCCTCAGTGAGTGAAACTGTTCCCACTGAGACTCGAAAGCAGTAGCCATCTAGATATGATAGAGAAGATTTGTAGCTCAGGTGGATGATTTTGATATGGTTGTGTTCTCTGAGCTGGAGAGTTAATTTGCGAAGCTTCGCAAAGATAAAACTCACAACTTAATACACAACGTCTTCAACGACATCAAATTCACAAGAGGAATCCGAGAACAAAATCCCCTATTTTGGACGTCTTAGTCAAGCGAACAACCACAGGGGAATTAGAAATTCAAGTTTATAGAAAATCAACTCACACAGACCAAATACTGAATTACAACAGCAACAACCCAATAACACACAAAAGGAATTGTATACAAACACTTTTCAAGAGAGCCAGTCAGGACTCATTGCAGCACTCCCACCTTAAGGAAAATTGAAGAAAGATATCTCATGGACGTCTTCCAAAAGAATGGATATCCACGGAATTTCATCAAAAGACATATACCCACAAGCCAATCTATCAAACCAAAAGCCCCCAAGGAAAGCACAAAGAAAATCGCCCTACGATATATAAACGATATCTCAGAAATCACTGCAAGACTCTTCAAATCTTTAGAAATTGACGTCGCACACAAACCAAAAAAATCACTTCACTCAGCTGGCTATGTATCAACCAAAAGACTCAACAACGAAAGGAGATAAAACCAACATCATCTACAAAATAAATTATAACAACTGCGAAAAACACTACATTGGTCAAAGTGGACGTCCCCTTCGTCAAAAGACATGATATCCACTCCCTCACTCATATCACTACATACAGACAACCAGGGACATCAATTCGACTGGGACAACCAACGTTCAAATATTAGACAGAGGAAACAACAAGAATGCTAGAGAATTTTTAGAAGCCTGCCTGGTATTCCAGTGAATCGTCAATCAATAGACATATCGAGATAGACTAAATTCATCAACCGAAAAGAATGAAACCTCACACACAAAGGGTCAAAGTTCAAGTCAAAGAAACAATCAGTTCCAATACAAGTAACCTAGAAGGTGTGAAAACACACAAAAACAACCAATCACGTCCAAGATCACCCACCAGGAGAGATGACTAATAAACTCGTGGAGAAATCTAAAAGCTCACTTCAATTCAAACTGAAGTATGCGCTGAAGATGTCGCCTAGTAGGGCGGGCAATGAAAGCTTCACAAATTAACTATCCAGCTAGCTCAGAGAACACAACCATATCAAAAAAACAGTAACCATCGTTTTAACAGACCACGATAGCCACCTCTTGTTCAACGGGCTTCAGTTATTACTTTGTTTTTAATTCAGCTTTGATTTATTTCGCCGATTGATTGGACCGAGATGTTTAGGAGAAGAAATGCACATATTTTGGATTCCACTGCTAATCACCAACTAACTTCAAATTAATAGTCTCAGACATTGTCGAAGCGTGCGTATTTAGGAGGCGATGTGTCAACTATAGGCTGAACATCTCAGTCTAATAATCAATAATCAAGGGGAAAATCAAAATTCAATTTTAAACATAAATAAATGAAAGGATTTGACAGTTGAACATTCAACTATCTTTTTAGCACTTTTTCCAAGTGTTGATTTGCGAAAATTTGATTCATTTCAATGTTTAATCAATCACCAAACTGACTTCTTCAGTTAGACAACCATTAAAAACTACACCAGGAAGCAGCACGGGACAGCTGTAAAGCAGTAAATTGCTACTCGGTAAGAATGCACGCTGAATACATTGACTGGTAATCGAGCTACATATATCGCCAATTCACAGAAGTTACTATTCACAGAACACAATGAATCCCCACTAAGCACTAAGAAGACGTAATTTGTCTGAATCGTGTAATGTGTATTTGCCCAACCCATTTGGAACAATCTGACCACACACGGAGGAGGAATATGTGTGAAATTAATAAAGAGGTGAGAGGTGAGAAAATAAACAAGTGAGGTCAAGTTAAAAGGACATATTGAAGGTCAAAATAACAATGAAGACCACTAAACCAAATAACAGAGGTAATAGTACATCTGCCTAACTGGTATCAAAACAAAGTTTACCAAGGAAGGTTTAGTGTGATGACGAATTGTTTTTGAACGCATAAAAAGGTGGTTTAAACTTCCTAATTGCCAGTTAGGGCTTCCACAAACTTTAAGATACGCCCCAAACACGTTCTATAGATAGGTTTAAAAGACGTGTAAACATCAATTTTATATCCTGTCTCTATAATATGTTCCACATTAGAGGAGATAGGTCGCCTGTTCTCACCATTAATGGGTTCTGGAGATTCAATTTGCTTCTGAAGCCCTTACTTTCAGAAATCAATGAGTCCTCCCTGTGTATGTGATGTTTACACGTCTTTTAAACCTATCTATAGAACGTATCTGGTGTGTATCCTAAAATTTGTGGAAGCCCTAACTGGCAATTAGGAAGTTTAAACCACCTTTTTATGCGTTCAAAAACAATTCGTCATCACACTAAATCACCTTCTTTGGTAAACTTTGTTTTGATACACTTAGGCAGATGTACTATTACCTCTGTTATTTGGTTTAGTGGTCTTCATTGTTATTTTGACCTTCAATATGTCCTTTTAACTTGACCTAACTTGTTTATTTTCTCACCTCTTAACTCTTTATTAATTTCATATATATATTCCTATGACAAGTCCGTGTGTGTGTGTGTGTGTGTATCAGATTGTTCGAAATGTGTTGCACAAATACACAATACACGATTCAGACAAATTACATCTTCTTATCGCTTTATCTAAATTCATAAAGGGAACTAATTGTTTTAAATTCTTTAAGACAGTGAATTCCATCTTAGTTGCTGACCTTGTAACCTGAAGGTTTTAGGTTCAATCAGTCCATGATCCTATCCAAATGTGATTCACACTTAACAACGAATTACATCATCCACAACACACTATATTACTTATAAGTAGACATGTATTCTAGCGTAAAATTGTATTTTCACTCTGAATAAGTTGTTGAATGTGGATTTCATCACGAATTACCGAATCAGTTAAAGCCCACCACCAGAGTATTGGACAGCTGTTTCGTCACAGATTGATCACCTTCAGAAGTAAGCACCCGCATGACCACACACTACGGATAGATTCCAAGACTTTCCGATCATTAGGCCAGTGCCGCCGCTTGGTTTGGCTTTCACTTATCTCTAATTGATACGTTGGTCATGTGACGAAATCTACATGGAAATTACTCAAAATCCCCATAGAAATCACTCATAATCTATAAAATATCAATATCCAGGTGTCATCATTGACGGCTACTGAAAGGATATCCTGAAGCTCTGTGTACTAAAAAGTCGTGACGATCAACAATGTCAAGGTGTTAATATATGTGTAAAACTTGGGCACTGTGGTAGTAAGTAATTCCATATTAGTTTGTTTATTAGATATATCACACGGAAACCTTACTCAGAATTCTTAACAATGCAGGGAGGAATAAAAGTGGCTGGCATTCAAACCCACAAACTCAATTAGAAACAAGCTTTGTCGGTTAAAGGATCAATCCTGTGCAGCCTTTAAAACAAAACAATTTAGTTTATCTAATACCCTGCTAGAATGATTGTCAGGTCAAATACATAGGTCAAACTAGTAGAACAGGGGCAGTCAGACTAGCTGAACATAAAAACCTAGCAAAATCTAGATTAGTTGACCCGAATAAGATAAGAAATCTAGAGAATAGTTCAGCTATAGCACTCACTACATGCAATTACACACAACCATACCATAGGATGGGTGGATAGGATGACAGTTTTAAAATCTAATATCACAGGGTGGAGGGAGGGAGAGATTGATAACAGAAGCTTTGTTTATCGAATCAACTGCAAATACGTGTAATAGGAATGATTCAACACCTGTCCCAGATATCTGGAAAATTCTACTACCCCAACGACGACAAATAGGAGAGGACAAAGAAAACTATAAAACTCAAGTTTCAAAGTCGTGTGATTATAATTGATGAAATGATTATGAACAATAAATTTTGTTCGAAACGTCATCCAGTAAATAATACTGTTTCACTGACTGTATGATACATCTAATAAACAAACTAATATGGAATGTCAAGGTGAGAGTGAGGTGGATACTGCGTATCGATGGCATTGGTTGGTAGTAGCGTTATATTACGAACTGAGAGAAGTTAGAATTCATATGGCATTGAATTCCAGCTCAAGTGGCTTAATGGTCAACGCGCGCGCTTGCCTGAGCTTGATTTCCAGTGGGGTTATAAAATGAGTAATGCCGAAGATTATCAAACTATGACGAAACAGCTATCCAACATTGCGACATGGTGGTCAAGGTCAGTCTGGAAACAAACTATATATATATATACAATAGGGAAGATTTGTAGCTCAGGTGGATGATTTGGTGTGGTTGTGTTCTCTGAGCTGGATGGTTTGGTTGAGAAGCTTTCATTGCTCTACTGAGCAACATCTTCAGCGCATACTTCGATGTGAAGTGAGCTTTTAGAATTCTCTATGAGTTTATTAGTCATCTCTTCTAGTAACCCTGAACGTGATTGGTTGTTTCCGTGTGACATTTCACCCCCTAGTTTGCTTGTCTCGGTGCTGGCTGCTTCTTTGTTCTGAATTTCGTTAGTCGTTCCTTCTGCTAGAGGCCTTCCTAGAGGCCTGGTATTCAAATGAATCAGCAATCAATAGACACATAGAGATTGACAAAATATGCCAATCCATACGAAGAAATTCACACAAAAACAAAGTCAAACTTCAGGTCAAGGAAACAGTCAACACCAAAACAAGTGAACTAGAAAGTGAGAAGTCACACAAAAACAACCAATCACGTTCAAGGTTAGCAGAAGGAATGACTAACGACATTCAGACCAAAGAAGCAGCCAGCACCGAGACAAGCAAACTAGGGGGTGAAATGTCACACGAAAACAACCAATCACGTTCAGGGTTACTAGAAGAGATGACTAATAAACTCATAGAGAATTCTAAAAGCTCACTTCACATCGAAGTATGCGCTGAAGATGTTGCTCAGTAGAGCAATGAAAGCTTCTCAACCAAACCATCCAGCTCAGAGAACACAACCACACCAAAATATATATATATATATATTGTAAATATACTGATACTTTGACTTTTCGTCTCACGTCTTTGTGTTTTGTCGCTTAAGTGGTGTGGGAGCTTGGGAAACAGGAAGCTGTTGTATACGATGATGAAGTAGCCTAGTGGATTGCGTGACCACCGCGTCCGTATCCCACTCAGCATCCCTAGTCAACTGAACGTATTACAAAATATAAAACATAAAATGGTTTCCAATGATTCACTGACTGATGTCAGTTCGTTAACTAACTAACTAACTTAAAATGTGATGAATGTATGAAAGATGTGCTAAGTTTTCACTAGTTGATTGGATTTTCCTACACCAAATGACAGAGAAAGGTGAAATAAACCTCACTTGAATGCGAATAGTCAGTTTATTCCCTAGAATTCCCTTAGCTTCGTCTATGTGTACAAGAAGAAGAAAAAACTGACGAGTTCGAATTTCATCCGAAAGATTAGATGGAATACGATAATAATAATAATTTGCTTTATTCCAAAACAGTACTTGTGATACAGAATGGAATTCTCAGCATTTCACTACAGTATTGCGCATCCAGTTTGTACATTAACAATAAATAAAATTCTACATAGATTATGGGTAGTCTCAGTTAATTTTGACAACAACATATTAGCATATCGGTAGCAAAGCCAAAAGTGAACAGAATGTTTGAAGGTGTCAGAAAGTAGATACTAGCATATTTACTGGTGTAGGCGGTGACAAAAAGGTTGAGATATACAGACTGTGAAAGAATGAAGAAGAATGTTTTAAGTAGAGTTTGTAAGAAAGAGAAAAAAAACAACACAAAAGAAAAACAAAGAAACAAAACAAAAAAGAGAAAAGGAAAAGAAAGAAAGAAAACGTTGTACCTATAAATGATATGAGTTGGAAAGACGAGATCCAATTGTCTACTGACTATTTAATAAGTTATAAGTTTCACGCCTAATGCTTTCTTCATCGCACAGAACACGAGCCAAGTAGGATATGGTTGAGTTTTGTACTTGCTAGTGCGAGCATATAGTTTTCTATATAGGCTTCTGGTCCTGCCTGATGAGATACAAGGAGAGAGTTGTGAATGAAGAGGGTGGTGTGAGTTAGATAGAATGGATTTAGCCCATTTTTCACATGAGTCCAAGTGCCTGTCGACCAGAATATTAACAAGCTGGTTAGGTGGCACATTGCTTACCTTGCTGACAACCTTTAACATCCTACGTAATAAGATATAGCCATTCTTCAGTAGCCCTGGAAAAACTAAGGGGGAGCAATAGAGAATAATAGGCAGCATGCAAGAGTTAACGAATCGTAAGAGTAAGAGTTGGGTAATTTCAGAATGTCTTAACTTCTTGATGTAGAAGGTAAGACGGAATATTTTCTTAGCAATCAACAAGATATGAGACGACCAGGAAAGATCAGTACATAGAATGACGCCATGATATTTAATTTCCGACTTGGTCTCTATTTCAGTGCCATCTATGTTGCACACCTCGTGAGAGCTAACCAGTTTGTTTAGGTCAGATTTATGCCTAAAGGTGAAATTGACTGTTTGACATTTAGAGGGATTTAAGGTAAGACCGTTTTCCTTGGACCACTGGCTGATTTCTGATAAAAAGCCATTTAGTTTAGAGCAGTCACTTTGACACTTGACAGGCAAAGATACAGTCAGATCGTCAGCATATTTAACAAAATTAATGTCATTTAAAGATGATAAGTCATGTAGAAAGAAAGAAAAGAGTAGTGGGGAGAGAGTACAGCACCTTGGGGGACACCAGCTTCAGTGTGAGCACAGGAGATGAGGATTTACCTTTATATACAGTGTACTGCATTCTGTTTGAGAAATAGGAATGCAACCAGTTTGTGTCATTGAGAGCTTATTTAGCAAGAGACATCTAGGTACAGAGAGTCAAAAGTAGAAGATAGCTAGCTAATGAAGAAATCGTTTCTTCTGTCCACCTGATAACTTTTATCAATCAAGTTGAAGTGAAATCGAGATTTCTATAGATTTTGTTTGACAATGTGTTCCATGTAATGGGTGTTTTATTAGGCTGTCTCTAGTGGTTCACCCTATATATCGCTTTTGTCTCTACAACAGCAGCTAAAATAATTTGTCAATGCACACAGGTAGACAAGTTAACCGGTTGTCACCGGAAAACTGATAAACACACAGGTTGGCCTCTAAATGCGCGCCCATCACCAAAAGAATTTCAAACAGGATATTCCAGATTTTCATCAACACTTAACTTCGCTGCATACTGAAGATCAGACGACCAGTTGCAAAGGATAAGTAACGAGGTAGTGTAGCAGTGCAGCGAACCCACCAAAAGCCTATTTTATTACCTCATACACTGAAGAGACATTACACTCAAGGCCAGCTGCCTCGAGTGCGACCCGAATGGGCAACAAAGAGTTGGGCGTGTGTCGGAGAGTGACAAAGGATGAAGTAAGTAAACAAAAAGATCGCAGAGAACAGAATGTACTGCTGAAGTGCCCTGTATTCCACTCGATACCTAAGGGACGATACTAATAACGTAATAATAATAATAATACTTCTCAATACTATACCTTCATAATAAAATTTATAAAATAACAACTACACCTACCGTACGGAAATCTTCAACCGATCGAAGTAAACCCTCTTCATCATGCATAATTTGTAAGAAACTTGAAGATGGAATTTTCGACTTAGTAGCCGTTTTCTTAGCCTTGACTTCTGTAAATAGAGAAAAGTAAAACAAAAAAATGTTGGAATTAAAGATTTAAAAAATATATAATTCAATGTAGAAGAAAAGAAAGGGCAAGTGGTAAAGAATGGTGGCCCAAGCGAACAAGCCGCAGGACTGACCCTGAAGGAGAGCTTATCACAGTTTGTGTAGCCCTGTAATGAAATTGTAACATATATAAAACAGGGGTTTATTTTTGATAACGGTCTTGTGCGTCAGCGGTGGAACACTCGCCAACCACCGCCAACACCCCACGTGGTCCGGGGTTCGATCGCTGACCCATGCCAAGCCAGTATAGTAAGGCCAGTAAAGAGTGTAGTTTTTGGGCATGAGGCTTGCAACCCTACGGCGTAAAAATAAAACCATCGCTATCGGAACTTCAAAGCTCTAGCTTGAAGCCCTATGTTCTACTCGAAATGTAAGGGAATACAAGAATAATTTTGATAAAGAAAGTTTCTCAGAGTCTAGGAGAAAAAGATGTCAATCTTGGACGAAACAGCTGTCCAGTACTCCCTACGGGTACTGAAGTCACATATCGTGATGAAACTTGAAACCAATCGAATTTCCCTGCAAATTAACACTTGAAATTTAATCTATTGCTCACTCGTAACTGGCTACAAGAGGAAGTTGACTGAAGTTCTAGTGTGAAGTAGTGACCAGTGGGGTCTACCAAGCTATATATATCACAAATTGGCAGAGGTTAGACTTCATGGTATGGCCATTGCATTCCTTCCCAGTGGCTGGATGGTCGACCAGCTCACCTAGTAACCTAAAGATCCTGGGTTCGATAAATGACGATGGGGTGGTGGTCATGGGTGAGCATTGTTGAAGAGTCCCAAGCACTAGAACAAGACAGCTGTCCGGGACTCACTGATTTTTTGAATGTTTAAATTGATGTCAAAGTTTATCACCCATTTCATCTTCGTATACATAAACACAGTCTAGAAGACAAAAGACATGACACACACGCACACACACACACAAACAGACAGACATACACATACACGTTTGTCCGTATCAATGAACGTGAACAACTCAACAGAAAACTCAACCAGAGGAAACACAAGGAATGTTAAACAATTCTTGGAAGCTTGGTATTGAAACATTGGTATTGATATGGGTAACAATTATAAATCAATACAGAATAAGTCACGTGACCGAAATACTTAAAAATCCGGTCAAAAGAACGATCAATATTAACGCCTGGAGATAATCGATCACAGTCAAGGTTACAAACACCACTAAGAGAGATAGCTGATTCACTCATGGAGAATTAAAAAACACAACTCAGTTTACAATTCTAGTCGCAACCCGATAGCTTCTGCCTTGATGTAATAGTCGGTTTTGCATATCACAATGATTCAACGAGCTATACTGCTGAAACTAATGTTCTACCATAGAAGGAGATTTAGATAGCAGTAGATAAAGCAGATTATACTATGCTGAGGGGGAGAGGCTGTGGGAGAAGCCGTACTGCTGGGGAATAGGGATGTAACAGCAGTGAGGTGTTTCCCTCAGATGACCAGCATGTCAGCCAGTTATGTTGTCTTTCGCCTCTGGAGAAGGGGAGTTAGAAAATGTTTCTCCCAGCTAACCTTGCAGTGATCCGTACCTGGGCTATAGAGTCTTAACACGAACACTAATTCAGAAAGCAATTCAAAATAGGGCTATATATAGTCACGAAACACTAATGCTTCATCTGTTTTTCGGGTAACTCAAGAAGTAGGAATCAACTTCCGTGGTTTCGGCAACCGGGAAGTAATAACCCCTTCCACACACACTACCTTCCATAGGCACACAAAGTTTTCTGACATCAATCAGTCAGTTAGTCAGTGACAGTTGAAGTTAGTCCTGAAGATATTCTCCAGAAGTTTTGCAATTAAACTGTTTAGCACATACAATGTAAAGACAATATTAAAATGACTTTCATAGATTGAATACAGATGACAGGTCAGTGAATAAATAGGGGAACAGTGGTGGATAGAATCAATGAACTACAAGCAACTCAAATATAGGCCTTTCAAACACTTTGTCTTGATGAAATCAGTGTAGAAATCTACTGAACTAATTCAGCATAAGGAACAATATTCGATTTCATCATGAGCTGACATTGGTTAGAGAATCACTGGGAAACCTGGGAGAACTGGATAGCTGTTTCGTCCCTCCCAGTTTGGGACTCTTCATTAGTACGCACACACCGGGGTTTGAGCCCAGGACCTTCTGGTTACAAGGCGAGCTGGCTCGTAGACCATTAAGCCACTGGGACCCGATCCAATGGCCAGTCCATGAATTCTAACTTCTGCCAATTCCATGAGATGCTCACTGGCGACTTGCCCTATTTAGGTAGGTAGTTACCTGGGGTTCAAGTGAGAAGTCGTGACCAGTAGGGTAGAGCAGGTCGGGTGTGAGGACAAATACTCGCCGAAGACATTGGCTAGTGGTCACGCTATGTCGTGAATTCATGGGCCATTGGATCGGGTCCCAGTGGCTTAATGGTCTACGAGCTAGCTCGCCTTGTAACCAGAAGGTCCTGGGTTCGAACCCCGGTGGGTGCGTACTAATGAAGAGTCCCAAACTGGGAGGGACGAAACAGCTTTCCAGTTCTCCCAGGTTTTCCAATGGTTCTTTAACTAATGTCAGCTCATGATGAAATCTTGTAACCAATCAAATCCCTACAAACCAACACTTGAATATTCGATTTTTTGACACGCTGATGTAAAGTTGTCAGTCGGTGCTTCTACATGCTTCAGGGACTTGGCACATAACTAAAGGCATTTCCAACTGGGTATTACAGACCATTATTAACAGTGTTGTCTTCACTTTCCACAGATCAAGCAACTAGTAGTAGATTTAATAATGGGAAATATTCCCCATATCATGAATTAAAAGTCAATCTAAACGAAGAATATTCTTTTCAATAACTTCTCTTCAGACTCTTACAATTATAAAATATAATATTTATTATCCTTACAATAATGATAGCCAGTTATGCGGCTGATACATTTTTTAACGTACGATAACAGATTAGTTATGGGGTGTCAAAATAAATAGTCTATTTGTGTGACAAACGTCGTGCTAGGCTGAAATCGATTACAAAATATTGTAAAATGAGAGACAATGGTGGTGATTAGTCATAATAGATTTGTAGAATGTGGGGTAGGAAAATTGACAAGTCAGTTCAAGGTTATAAAAGGTGTCAGCTGAGTGAGTGGAGTAGCTAGTACAAAGTGGTCTGTATTAAACAGGAGATAGTAAGAGGGACCAAGAGGGATTAGGAGTATCTCCCTTGAATTGGAGACGTAAAAACAGAGGCTTTTTCTCGACCGTTCTCAGTTCATGTTTACGACTATTGTAACCTATGTTGGCTTTAATAAACTTCCCTGGATATCCGTTCTCGCTTAGAATGTCTCGGATGACCTGGAGTTCTTTCTCTACGCAGTCTTCGGAACAAATGAACCTCGCTTTAAGTGCTAAGCACCTGATCAGATTAGGTTTGTATTTCATCGGTACGAAACTAAGGAAGTGTGTATACTGAGCTTTGGTCTCTAGCTTTCTAAATATGGTTCTTTTGATGGAATCATCATCTCTTCTCGTTAGTAGGACGTCGAGGAAGTGTGTAGAGAGTCGTTGTATTCTTCTTCGTAGGCAGTAGTAGCCAGAAGGGATAAACAACAAGGAACTCAGGTAACAAACCGACCAAGAATCTACCATCCAATAAATGTGCTGAAGGAAATCGAGATGGATTGGAAACACTCTGAGGAGGCCATTGAGTGACAGTAATAAGCACACCAGACACCAGTGCTTATGTGGAGCTCGAATAGGAGACTATGAGTTGGGCATTTGTCCAATAGAGACACATGGAGGAGATTGTGTTAGGACGAAGAAATTATAGACAACAGTGGAACCAGTTACAAAATACTGTAGAAACACACTGTGAAATGCTGATCTTCTGTTGAAGCCCTATGTCCTACATGGACATCACAGGCATTTGTAGCTTGTCCCGTGTGAGACCTCGCCATTGTAAGTGGGAGATATGAAAAGCCTGGCCAGCTGTCTTTGATCATAGGTGTCTGCGTTCTATGTCCCGTGTGAAGTGGTACAATAGGGTGAGCAGTATTGAGGTTAGGCATCGGCTGAGTGCTGGGTAAGTAGGCGAATCGATCGGCGAAGCTGTGAAGCTACATGGATTGATATGGGTAGAACAAGTGTCTATCTATCACCTTCCTCGACAAAGGTCAATGTTAGCTGGCATAGGGTCAGGCTGGTGTGGTCAAACCAAAACATGGTTTCATCAGTCAATGAAATCCACAACAGTTAGTTTAAGCTGGCCACGTAGGGAGGTGTAGACTTGCTGGCTGGTTGGGGTCCTCGGAATGGTAGACACCAGTGACAGCTGGAGACAATCGGTGATATGGCTCAAAATCCTGTTCTCAATGGCTGGTACAGATGCATCCACTCCTTGTGACTTATAATACCCAATAAAACTATATTGTTCTTCGTTATTACTATTCTTTTCGCCTCATATCTCTGTTTACTGTCTCTGTTTTGCATTTCTTTTTACTTTCTTCTCTTGCTTTGTGTGCTAGGTGAAGTGTGGCGACTCGAACTGCTGCACATCGGTGCAAAGTTCTACGTTGAAACCAGTCAGCCAGCAGTCAGGTTGTCCAGTTTGCAACCATTGAGGTTCTACGCAAATAATGATGAATGAATGTGGTTTGCAGAGTTTTGAGTGACACAGCTGCTCTAAGGCGTTTCTCAATGACACCATCCACCCACGTATACATCATTTCACTGACCATCCATCCGTTTCGATACACACGTTTATCTTATTGCTGTTGCATTTCTATATCTTACTTCTTTGGTTTAGGGCTTCAAGCCTCTAGCTTGAAGTTTCTGTAGCAGGGTTTATTTTTACAGGATGGGGTTGCTAGCCTCATGCCCAACCTTTCCTCTTCACCAGCTTTAGTTCTGGCTTAGCGAGATAAAG